ATCTCGTGCCATCAGCCGCCGTAAGGTCGGAGGATCAGTGATTTGTTCAGGCTTTGGAACCGAATGATAACAAATTTTTCCTTTCAACTACAACTCTCACTGCCCCTTCTGCAGTGTAGTTATGTGGCATAATGGTTGATTTAAAACATGGTAAAAACAGTAAATGAGCATAATAGTGGCTATCATTTTAAGATGCAACACGTTTGACTGCTGTGACGCAATGAAACCAAAGAGCAGGAGAAGTGGTGATGTTTAGGAAAATGAAGATATGTCATGACGCAGACGATTATCTGCTGTCAGACATACTAACAGCGAACCACGAGGCGCTGGCTGCATGATGACTGGGCGTACCTATCGCAGGCGTTGTAAAGTCGGCGGCCTGGCGAAATAAATCTTTTCCAGCAGCGCGGAATCACACAGGAGTGCACATTTTGGGCACTGGATTAGATAACGGTACAACCTCAATGCTGACCATCCCAAGGTACAAGCACGTATCGTGCTATTGTCGACGGCTTAGCTATGGCTTGAGCATCAAACAGCTAGTGGTAGTTTACTTTGCATGCCTGAGGGGCATTTTATCACCTCTGCAAAACGCACAGGGAAGCGATTATTTATGCCCTAGTCGGAGAACTGCTGCGATGACACTCGTTCAAATATACGGCTGGACATCCCAGGCGCCAATAATGGTTTTATTGACCGCCGGGTGGATTTCATCACTCCTGCAAAAGCAGCACGATGGGAGGCATCTTTTAAACCAGTGAATAAATAGTTAATACAAAATCCGCCCGCTCGCACATGCAGCCATACGCACACTTGCATGCGCATACCATCGTCCGCACAAGCCATGCAAAATTAACGAAACAGCGCAGCAAAGTTAAATCATCAGTGCTCAGTGAAATGGTCGTCTTAAAATGGGTACGGATAGCTGCCTTCCCATGCCACATGGTGCTTGACATTATGCTAGTTTGCACTAAAAAGCGCTCCTAGATTACACTACATAGAAATGAGCTAAGTGATAGATTTATTAATTGGATCGCATTGATCGCTCCGAGTTTGTGGGACCACCCAGCATACGGCTCGCATGGAGAACACATTCAGGAATGAATCAAATTCAAAGACGAATCACGTGAATCATATTCATACGACCCCTGAGGCATTTCGCACCGTAATCCGCAAACTGCTCGTGTTGCAGTTAGTCCGTAACGTTCCCGTCGTCTCATTCCTCGCCGCTCATAATTAATCAGCCGCGCTGGTGCCAGCCAGCCGACATGCTTTTCCTCTGACACACGTCCTACACCAATTCCAGTTTACAAACACCAAACGACAGCGGTTGGCAGACGCTGACGTGTCGATCGATTACCCGTGCCGTTTGTGATTATTCCATGGCATAATCTAAGCGAGTCTGTCGTTATGGCACGTGCCAATGAGGGACCCAATGCCTGTCGCCGTGCACCATCAGCACCGATGATAACGGAATGAGAATAGCAAATGGCAAGTGTCTCTGCTCCACTATATCCTTTGTTGCAAAAGTCGCGTTGAATGCCTTCTCTGTTTTACACTGCACATTGGTCTGATCCTGCCCTGGTGATCCCAAATGCTCGCACAGCAACGTGAGCCGTCGCTTCTTGCAATCGCCCTGACGACAGCGGCTCCATTCTCATCCCAGCTCAAGGCCTGATTCCGTTATCTCACCAGAGGACCGTCTCCTTCCGCGGCCCGAGCGTTTGAAGACCTCGCGCCGACCCTCCCAGGGACGAGCGGGCAGCGCGGCGCAGCTGAGACGAGAGCACAGCTCTGCGCTGTCTCCGCACAGTCCGGAGACAGGGCAGAGCCTGCGTCCCTCCCGCGCCCGGACAGCCGGCAGAGGCGCAGCCGGCGGCGCGAGACGCGCCCTCTAGCTTTGCATGCACCTTTGTTTAATTAGGCGGGCCCGGGCGCGATGCGGCCACTGTCCAGACCAGCCGGCGCCGCGCCGCGCCAGCCGGCGGCCCGCTCGGCCGGCAAACTCATTTATCTTTAAAGTGGAATAATATTTGAATAAAGCGGCGTGGAAATATTCATGGCTGGCGGCCGCCGACATGACGGGCCGGCAGCCCGGCACCGGGCCGGTGACCGATCGACGTGCGCGCGCGCGCCGACCCGCGCCGCGGGCCGACGCGACGCACCGGCGACCAACGCACGCCGCCCGGCGACCAACGCGGCGCCCCGGCGACAGTCGCGCCGGCCGGCGTCTTTATCACGGCGCGGACCACAGGGGACGGGGCGGCGCGCGCCGCCCGGTCGTTTTTACCGGGTGTTGGACAGTATTTATGGAGTATGATTCGCATAATTAGCTGGTGCGGCCTGTGATATTATACGCCATGCATCAGTCGGCAGCGGGGGAGGGCGGCGGCGGCGGGCGGCGTCGCTGGAATGGAGGAAGTGCCCGACCCCCGTCGAGGGCATGCATGATATGTGATATGGTCGGCCGGGGCGCTGGGCCGGGGCGTGATAGCCGAGACACGGGTGCGGGGCCGTCGCTCCCTCCCTGAGCGATGCCAACGAGCCGGCGGAGCGGCCCCCGCAAGCAGCGGGTGGCGGCCCGCGATCGAGAAAGCGCTACAGGTTAAGAGGAAGAACGGGTGTTGCCTGGATGCATTAGATAACAACTGGGTGTGCTGGTTGGTTCGTGTTCTTGCATGCATCGGTTTACATTATATTGGGAAGCTTTGTGTTGCACCCACTATAACATCCAGGAACTGACGTGCTCTTTTAAAAATGAAATCAAATCGCCTTAATCTGGCAGCCACTGCCCCGTGCATAACATCACGCATACGAAATGAGAAGATGGTACAGAGGAAGCATGCCGTCTAGTTGGCGGCTATCACTCAATGAGTAAATAAAACAAGGCATCGAGAGTCAATGACGTTGAAGTGTTTCAGGATACATTGCATCACTGAAATCATTGCTCGGAACAATGTTCTCATGCAAACATCTCGGCCCAAACATTCCGTAGAACTACACCACATCACCGATCAAAACAAACGATAGCCGATGAAGGAAACCAGCCGAGTCACCCACATGGCATCAGCAGGCACTTCAGACCCGCAGTGCAGGCGAAGTGTCCTGCCTTCGCTGGCGGCAATCTTGGCGCTTGGCGATCCGGAGTAGTGGCGCCGTTCCCGGTACGGCGGTACGGCGCCGGCGTCAGCCACCCTCGCTCTGCAGGGCGACAAGTGCGGCGGCGATTACTGCGAACCAGACGACAGGGTTGCCAGGCGGCGGCGCGGCAGCGTGCCGGCCGGGCTCTGAGCGCGTGCACCCGCGCGGGTCCCGTCCCCTGTGAACGGCTCGGAAGGCGATGCAGAGTCTGTGGCCCGAGCGGACGGTGCGGAGGGGAGGTGGCTGCCCTTTCGGCGCGCCGTGCGCTCGCGTGCAGTAGTGGTCCAAACGCAGCGCGCGTCTGGTGACGCACGGTGGAGGGAGGCCATTGACGGATCTGAGCACGCGGGCAGCGGTCGGCCATGCGTGGCTGGGACGATGAGACGAAAGCTGAGAAGCCGTGCTGCGGCATAGTGACGCCTTGCCATTCGACCCAAACCAGGCCGGAGGTCCCCAGCAATCGCAGCCCAAAACCTAGCCGGAGGTCTCCAGCATCGCAGCCCCAAACGAGGCCGGAGGTCTCCAGCATCGCAGCCCAAACCAGGCCGGGGATCTCCAGTGTCGCAGCCTCAACCAGGCCGGAAGTCTCCAGGATTGCAGTTTTCCGTTAGTGTCCAATCGAGTCAATCTGGATACTACTGCAAAATTAGTTGATGGCCAAAGCCTTTACATCAGGCTGTACGTAAGGTGCGCTACACACGTTAATTTGGTACCGGAGTAGACTCAGTTAGCTGCATGCCTTGTTAATCCACACCGTGTCACGTTAGGTCACACGACAAAGAGAACAGCGTACCACTACAACTACCACACGAAATAGCGATGCGGCGTTAGGTAATCTGAAAATCCGAAGCGAGCAAGGCAAGCGCAGGTGCGACAAAGAAACCACACTTCTGCGCATTAACAAACCTTCCTGGTTTTGACGCATCGTCGGGTATTAATAAAAAGGAAGAAAGGAAGGCAGTCAGGAGACAGTTTGTGCGTCGGGCAAAGTTCGCGAGTCGGCAAGACGGATCTCAAGTAGTGCGTGGCAAGCATGTGCTCATCAAAAGTCGTAACAATGGGCATCATGGTCTCTACGCCGGAAACGTGAGACATCTCCCCCACAGAGCACATGTGCTTGTTCGCTCCCGATATCATGTAATTGTTGGAAGGAATGCGATAAGGGCGAAAGAGCTAGCATTCCGATCCCTGTGTCCGCGAGTCAATGCAGATAGTCCCCTCCCCCGAGTGGGTGTGAACCTTTGCAGCTGTGTATGCCGAGCTGCATGTACCTGCAGCCTTTCGAAGTGTCACCGCTGCGCCCTATGTACCCTGCCAGCAGCTTCATACTGCGCCGCGTAACAAGCATTCTTATTGGTAGTACAGTGCTCAAAGTATACCGAACCCTCTATGGCTAATCCTCACTGGTGTGTTTTCGCAACGGCGAGTGCAACGGCTGCTTTTCCGAGAAACTCTCATGTCAACTAGCATTTCGTAGACGGTTGAGCAAAAAGCCGTGACATCTTGTACGTGGCATGCGCATGAGTGGTCGGAATCCCATAATCGGGTTGCCATGTTTGAGACTGTCCTGTATAGGATGTTGGGACATGTGACACGGGATGTCATGGTTTCTCAGACTGAGCATGTTTAATGGTTCGGGGTTGCGCAAGGTAATGCATTTGGAATGCCATCTTTGCAACGGAGCAGCACCCATGTTACGCCCCCGTGTGCGGTGGATCGACATTAAGCAACCGTACCATCGAAGCTCGATTCCTCTTATGCAAGTTAGCAGGTCTGGTCCGGCCAAGTCGCGGCGCAGAGCACGCACATCAGTGGTATCGCACTGATTCTCTGACGCACGTTTTTACCCAACATTGCAGCATCCAAAGCAAGGTGAGTTATACCATCTGGTGCGAGTTTTTCGGTTAAAACATGAAAACGCTTCACGCTTTTTCCAAACTTCAACATGTCGTAAACCATGCATACGATTTGAAACCCCGAATCTCATCATCTGAATAAAGCGCGCTTGGTCTGCTGCAGGGACTGGTGTGGGCAGCAGCGGACGTGCCAGCGCCACAGGTGTTCACTGTTTCCGTCGCAGCCCAGTGCCACCCAGTCCCCCCCCCCCCCCCCCCTAAACAGGAGAGTGACGATGAACATCGCTGGTGACAAACGGCGCACATGAGACGAGCTGCTAATCACGCATCTATTCACGCCGCTGTCGAGTCATTACCATGGTTGGTACTTTCTCCACACGTTTGAAGGGCTTTCGGGTCATCAGTATGCGATCTACGAGCGTTGAGAAAGCATAGTACGATTTCAGGAGACACAACATCTTGCACCGTTCCTGAATGAAATAAGGTAATGTAAAATCACCAACAATGGGAGACAGTGGTATCACTGTGGCCATTCCGGCATTTGTTGGACCCCAACAAGCAGAGCCTGTGTGACCCGAGCAGCACCGACACGACCGCAACCTAACGAGGTTGCCACTCACCATCTTCGCTGGCTAAAGACCGACTCCGATACAGGGACAGGCCCGCCCCGAGGCCGGAGGTCGCTCGCGGGGGTAGGTCGTGATCGTCCCGTGGGTCGGCAGGTCACCGCGGGCTCAACCCGTCTGGACGGGGACGCACCGACCATCTGGCAGTGGTACGACACTGTCAACGGATGCACAGCCCGAACGGGGGGCCACGAGGCAGCGGTGTCTATTTTCGTCTTCACTATCGACCCTGACATCAGGCTCAGTGGACGTTTACGGGCGCCCTTGGACGTGCATCTCCAACGCCGGCGGCACGCGAACAACCTTCCCGACAGCCGTCCTCACTCGCTGCCGATGACGAGCGCCTCCTGGAGGCAGACTCGGCTCCGGCCAGGTGGTCCCGTCTGAGTGGTCGCCGCTGGTCGAGGCCCCACCCTGCGGTGTCCCAGCGCACCTTGCTCTGCCAGAGGTCTCTGCTTTCTTCTGCGCCATCGGCATCACCACATTCGCCACCGAGCCGTAACACCATTTTGTCACCAGCACTCCCGCCTCCGCCACCGGTTCCGTGGCTTCCTCCACCACCACCGGGTCCCGCCGCTCCCCGTCCACGGGGTCGCGGCGCGCCGGCGGCTCCCGCCTCCGCCACCGGTTCCGTGGCTTCCTCCTCCACCACCGCGTCCCGCCGCTCCCCGTCCCCGGGGTCGCGGCGCGCCGGCGGCTCCCGCCTCCGCCACCGGTTCCGTGGCTTCTTCCTCCACCACCGGGTCCCGCCGCTCCCCGTCCACGGGGTCGCGGCACGCCGGCGGCTCCCGCCTCCGCCACCGGTTCCGTGGCTTGCTCCTCCACCACCGGGTCCCGCCGCTCCCCGTCCCCGGGGTCGCGGCGCGCCGGCGGCTCCCGCCGTGACAAATCAGCGATCGGCATGCAATCGGCTGGAAAATGTGCGGCACCCGTCCGACCACGGCAGCGGTCGGCCGGCCAGGCCATCCCACGTCGCTGCAAATCACTTCTAAATCATTAGCATTCAGCGAGCCGGCCGCCGGCCGCACGGCAGGGAGACGCCGCGCCGGACCGCCAGAGCTCCGCCTTCATTAGGAGGGGAGGCGGTCGGCGCGCGGCCGGGTGAGCGGCGCTCACGCATCGCCGTCCGACCGCGGCGTCCGCCTAGCGCGCGCCGATTTTTTGGCGCTCATTGGCGTCGTTAGGGATCATTAGTGATGCGCGGGCCGGCGCCTCCCTTGGGCCGGCGCGGCCGCCGCCGTATCTCAGCGGCTGTCGGCGGCGCGGCGCCGCCGCGGCCGGGCGGGGCTGCACGCGCGCTGCGGGGACACCGGCCGGCCGGGCGGCGCCGCCGGCTGGCCGGCAGACCCCCGGCGGCGGTGCTCTCCGGAGTGACGGGCGGGGCGGCCAAAAGGCGAGGAGACGCGGCGCAACGGTCGCCCCGCCGGGGGCGCACCGCGACCGAACGTCCCGCGCAGCCAGGCTCAGAGCGGGTTAACGGTCGCACTCAGCTGTTCAAAGCGAGCTGGAGAGGACCACTTTGGTCTGTTAATAACACGGCGAGAATGCACGCTGACGCGAAAATTTTATCTCAGGTCAACAGAACAAGTCAATGGAGACGCAGAAAGGAATCCTGGGTGAGGCGACGTTACCACGATTACAACACACGAGCTCGTCAATCAAGATAGCACAACAGACCTCCGCGCGATCCGATGCGCCGCTGAGTGGCGCTGATATCGTGCAGCCGCCGAACGTCTAAACGTGGCCGCACGCAGTCTGGGAATGCCGTCCTAAATCAGACGGGAATCTACCACCTACACCACGTCAACAAACCGTTCCGACATACATCCGCCGCCCCCAGAAAGAGATAGACCAGCCGCTTAACCATGTATTTCGTGTGCACACTTAACAGCGATCAACTGACGGCGACGCGTGAATCAGGCGCCGTGCCGCCCGGCCACCGGCGCCAGACGCCATGTATAACCCGTGAGGCCGGCCGGCAGGGCGGCTGGAGCCGCCATCATCTGCGCCAGCACCAGCCCTGATCGGCCGCCCGCCGATGGTCGCCCCGCCGCTCGGCCGCCTGCCGCTCGGCCGCACGTCGCATGTGCTCCAGCCGCCAGTCGTCTGGCCGGCGCGCGTCGGCCGGCGGCAGCGGCGGCCTGTCGGTCGTCGGCGGCGACGGCTCGGGTCGCCAGCCGTCGCCGCCGGCCGGACGGGTCGGCCCGAGCCACGGCGGCCGCCAGAATGGGTGCGGGGGCGGCGGCCGCCACATCCGCGGGCCCGGCCACCAGGCGCCCGGTGGCGGTGGCGGCGGTGGCAGCGGCGGCGGCGGCGGCAGCGGCGGCTGCGGCGGACGGTCGTACGGGCAGGCGGCGCGGCGCCGTTGCCGCCGCTGCTGCTCCAGGCGCCGCTCGCTCGGGCGCCGCTGGTCGCGACACGCCGGCTCCGGCTCGGCCTCCGGCTCCGGCTCCGCGTCCGGCTGCAAAGGGCGGCGCTCAGCGGCCATCTAACACTGGTGGGCGGACCGGCCGCCACGCCAGCACAAGGGTGGGCGATGGTCGTGGGTACGCGTAGCCAGCAGTGCGAGCCCACCTACTCATTTGGGGACCATTTAGTGTGACGTTAGCCATTAGAGAAACAACTTGAGTGGAATTGCAACAACCTAAGCGTGCATGCAGCAAGCCACAGCACGTGCCTGACCGTACAGTGCAGTGTTCAGACTTCCACACACGTTTGGGTGGGGTGGATGGTCAATTTGACCCCTCCGAAGGTTTTCCAAGAATAACATCCGAACGGCGTGGCGCAGCCGCATCAAACATTGCAAACATGTAGGCAATTAAATAGCGAATATTTTATGGAAACAGGTGGACCTTGTAAGGCCGCTGACCTACGACAGGTCAAATTCAGGTCGTGGCTATGAGCGAAGGCAATTCTTGGGGAATCGTTTGATCTGATGCGACGACAGAGTGCTAGATGAAATCGTACGTATAGGTTCTTTGACAACAAACTAATGACATTTACAATTACGACGAATTCCAGCGACCTTGCGTCAAGGATAAAGGACAAATCGGGATAAAAACCTAACTGCTTTGCTACTGTAGGGCTTGCCTTATCTGGTAATTTCTGACCCTCATTTCAAATTTCTGCATAACGGGGATGGCAACTGTCATCTTCCTTGACCTTCTAAAATGTTTAGAACAGGTTACTTACCTAAAATGACCCAGGTCAATCTTTTGTTTGCTAGGAACGAACCACCTAGCATAATCCTTGACGATCGTTGCAATAAAAAATATCTTAGGTTTTTGGCAGCAATGCCCTTCTACAGGTAAAGCAAGATGACTCACCTGAAATGAACACCAGTAAACTTTTGCTTAAGGCAGGCATCTAGGTTCAAGGCGCTTGCATGAGTAGGTCTTGGGCATTTTGGAAACCAATATTGAGTTTGACCTTGTTGCACCTTCTTTGACGCGAAGGCCTAGGAACCTCCAATTCTGACGCAAGTGAGTTAGCATACAGGTCATCCCACTCTGTGAATTTGATGTCTCTAGTTCTTTTTATTTTTAGATATCAATGCGTCCAAATGGACCCCAACAAGAACGTGCCGCGTTCAACCGGCCACCCGGGCGCGTGCTCACACACACGCAACACTGGTGTCTTGGCTTTATTTAGCATAGTCATCACTACATACCTCCAGCAGGAATCGAAATTACTGAAACATCCCAAAGCATCAAACAAAACAAAGTCATCGCTGCATACCTGCAAGGAGAATCGAAATCACCGAAACCACCCAAAGCATCAACGGCCAAATCAGCCATCTTTGGCGGTTCACTACGCACCAGTGGCGGCAGCCACTTAAGAAGCATTACAGATTAGGGCTAGTATATTTGTGCTGGCCCCAAAGCTCTTTCGGGCTTTGGGGTCAGCACAAATATGCCATAACCCTCGTAAAGACATCACTCTTCACTTTACTTTACATGACACTTTTTGTGGGTTTCTGGTCTGGGCTGGGTCACTTATGTATTTCTTAGACGCCTTTCTGGTACCTGGAGGGCATACAGATCGGCGGCCCGTGCGAACATTGCCGGAGGAGGGACGGGCCGGCCGTCTCGCGCTCACCACATTTGGCCAGGCGGCCGCCTTCAGGTCGTCCAGGTAGTTGGCCCGCTCTACGTTGTGGCCGCGCGCCTTGTTGAATGCTGGAACGACATGGGCCAGGTTACCGTTCAGAGCGGGGCCCGGACGGCGGAGAAGACGACAGGGAGGACAACACAGCCGGCCCGGACGGCGGAGAGGACGGCACCACCGACTAAGATGGCGGAGAGGACGGCACCGCTAGCCCGGACGGCGGTGAGGACGGTACCACCGGCTCAGACGGCGGAGAGGACGGCGGAGAGGACGGCACCGCCGGCTCAGACGGCGGAGAGGACGGCACTGCCGGCTCAGACGGTGGAGAGGACGGCACCGCCGGCTCAGACGGCGGAGCGGACGGCACCGTCGACCTGTCACTCGGCGTCCGGGGCTTCGCACCGAGTCGGCACGCGACGAATCCTCCGACTCAGCGGCCAGGTAGAGACCCGAGGGGGGGGGGGGGGGAAGGCGACGACGAAAAGCTCAGTTCCACTGCAGACGGAGAGTGAGAATATTTGAGGCTGAGGACATCGCCAACGGCTCCCGGGCTAATCAAGCTATCAATAAATCGGTCGCGCTCATCAACAACCCAGCACACGAGCGGCAGCTGAGCTGCCTCGTGCCATCATCCACCCCTGACATGGCCAGTCGTGCGGCGGCGACATATCGCCCGTGGGCGGACGCCTGCCATCCGCACAGGGCCGCCAGCCACCGGCGGCACCTCCCCGCCCGCTGGCGCTCCCCGCTCCACGCCACTGACCGGCGATGGCAGCGTCCGGTGTGAAGCCCAGCCGGGAGATCAGGTAGCGGCAGACCATGTAGCCGGTGCGGTTGACGCCGTGCGTGCAGTGGACGCCCACCACGCCTGGCGGGCGAGACGCGTTAGCCGGGGGGCAGCAGGGCGATCATCGGCGGCGCAGCGGGCTGCGGTCCAGGCGGCGGTCGGACCCTGAGCGCCGCGCGACGCGCACGGCTCCCTCGCGCTCCGGCTGGCGTTGCACGACCCACTGACCGACTAGACCTCAGCGAGGCGGCGGTCACGCCCCGCGCCGCCGCCTCATATCGGGAGACACAGCGCTGTGCGACGCTCACCTGTGATGGGCAGCGATCGGACACATTGCAACGCATTTGACTCGGGCTCAGAGGACACAGGTTGAGAGCTCTTCCGCTACATAAATATTTGACCCGTGCCATTCGGGACCAGCGGCGTGAAAAGTTCCGGTGTTAATGGTCGCGAGAGCTTTTACCGCTTACTTCTGATACCCCACCACAGAGAGGGATATTGGTCCTACCCACACACCCAACACAAGCCAAACTGACTTGATATAAGACCTGCTTAAAGAAACGATGCATCAAATGCATCGCTCTGCCCATGCACATGTGCGTTGCATATAGAAGAGGCAACACGACAAAAACTGCGACAGGACATGACAACAGGACAGGACAACAGGACGGGACAACAGGACACGTATGAAAAAGGAGAACTAAGCTGAGCACTGCGAATGGCATTTCCTTCTCTCTCCTTTTCGTGGCTGGTCACGTTTACTGATACTCGAAGTCGGCGGAGCGCACTCCCGGAGATGTGCTCCGCTCCACACAGCCGTGCAGCCGTCCAGTCTGCTCCACACAGCCGTGCAGCCGTCCTGTCCGCTCCACACAGCCGTGCAGCCGTCCTGTCTGCTCCACACAGCCGTGCAGCTGTCCTGTCCGCTCCACACAGCCGTGCAGCCGTCGTGTCCGCTCCACACGCCCGTGCAGCCGTCCTGTCTGCTCCACACAGCCGTGCAGCCGTCCTGTCCGCTCCACACAGCCGTGCAGCCGTCCTGTCCGCTCCACACGCCCGTGCAGCCGTCCTGTCCGCTCCACACGCCCGTGCAGCCGTCCTGTCCGCTCCACACAGCCGTGCAGCCGTCCTGTCCGCTCCACACGCCCGTGCAGCCGTCCTGTCCGCTCCACACGCCCGTGCAGCCGTCCTGTCCGCTCCACACAGCCGTGCAGCCGTCCTGTCCGCTCACAGCCGTGCAGCCGTCCTGTCTGCTCCACACGTGCAGCCGTCCAGTCTGCTCCACACGCCCGTGCATCCGTGTGGAATGGACAGGGCTATACCACTGAACAGCTGAGTCCTTCACCACTCCGTCGGCTTTGACATCCCTTAACCATCCCGTTAACTGAACAGCCGTGTCCTTTGCCATTCCGTTGGCTTCGACTTGCCGGGTGGTGCATTGGGTTCACAACGCGACAATAGCAGTCGTCTGTTCATTTTTGACTAAGGTAATAGTTCACTCGGGTACTTCGACAAGCTCACGTCACCAGACAGCTCTACGCCATTCAAATAAGCTACCTGACGACACTGTTGCACAAGGTTTGCCTATCAGCTGACTGGAGCCGGATCTATCTATGACGATGTATTCCCCATGACCTCACTTCGCCCCTCACCGCTCCTCCTCTTCAGTAGCTGTCACCGGCGGCACGTGACACGGCCAGCGTGTTCTCGACCCCTCCACCACTCCCCCTGCCCACTCTCACCACACCCCACGCTCTGCTGTGAATGTGACTATTTGGCAAGCCTGCTGCGCCGGCCAGGAAAGATATAACCAAATGCATGCGCTCGTTTACGGGGGGTATCAGGTGGTAAGGGTGTAAAAGATGAGATGCGTACACGACAACAAAGCCAGCTGACAACGAGGCAGTTTGACCCGATGTGCAAGCATCACAGCCAGTCCCGACCCGTCGGGGCGCACAAGGCACTGAGCTCAGACGACCGGGCCGAGTGACCGGGCGCGCTGCAGCAGCCTCGGCGGGGGGCGGGGGGGGGGGGGGAGGGAGACCGAGCGGCCAGCAGCCAGCCGGGCGGGAGCCGTCAACTAGCCGGGCGGGACCGTCAGCCAGCCGGGCGAGGAACAGTCAACCAGCCGGCGGCGGACAGTCAGGCAGGCGGGAAGCAGTCAGTCAGCCAGGCGGCGGACAGTCAGGCGGGCGGGGAGCAGTCGGCCAGCCGGGCAGCGGACAGTCAGGCGGGCGGGGAGCAGTCAGTCAGCCAGGCGGCGGACAGTCAGGCGGGCGGGGAACAGCCAGTCAGGCGGGCGGGGAACAGCCAGTCAGGCGGGTGGGGAACAGTGAGCAGGCGGGTGCGGTCGGCCGGGGGCGGGGCAGGCTGCAGCAGAGCCGGACCGCAGGGTGGTCGCCGGCCATCCGGTCGCCAAGGGCCGATCAACGCGCCGATGGTATTCCGAACGGGGAGCGGAACAGCGCCGCCGGCCGGGCCGCCACCGTTTACGAGCCATTGTGGACTGCCGACTCGCCGGCCGCCGGCGGAGCGACCCAACAGCACCGATGACCGGGGACCAGGGACCGGGCGGACGGGGCCTGCAGACCGGGGACCGGACGGGCGGGGACCGAGGACCGCAGACCTGGAGACCGAGCGAGCGGTGACCGTGGACCAGGAGACCGAGCGGAAGGGGCATGCAGACCGGGGACCGGACGGACGGGGACCGAGGACCGCGGACCGGGAGACCGAGCGAGCGGGGACCAAGGACCAGGGGGCCAAGTGGACGAAGTCTCCAGTCCTCGTCCGCAGGCCGAGGACCGAGCGGACGAGGACTGGAGACCAGGAGACCGAGCGAGCGGGGACCGAGGACCAGGAGACCGAGCGGGCGGGGACCGAGCAGACGGGGACCGCAGACCGGGGACCGAGCGGACGGGACAGCGGACCGGGGACCGCAGACCGAGAATCGAGCGGGCGGGGACCGAGCGGATGAGGACTGCAGAACGGGGACCGGGCGGATGAGGACCGCAGACCGGGGGTGGCAGACAGGGAGACCGAGCGGACGGGAACTGCAGGCTGGGGGCCGAGCGGGCGGGGACGGCAGACCGGGGACCAAGCTGGCGGGGACCGAGGACTGCGGACGAGGAGACCGAGCGGGCGGGGACCGTGGACCGAGGACCGCAGACCAGGAGACAGAGCGGGCGGGGACCGCGGACCGGGGACCGAGCGCACGGGGACCGAGGACCGCAGACCGGGAGACCGAGCGGACGAGGACAGCAGACCGGGGACCGAGCCGACGGGGACCGCAGACCGAGGACCTAGCGGACGAAGACAGCAGACCGGGGACCGAGCGGACGGGGACCGGGGACCGCAGACCAGGACAACGCAGACAGACAATGACCGTCGGTGGAAGAGCAGCGGCCAGCGACTGCTGCAAACAACGCACCGGACAAGCCATCCTAGTTCACAGGCCGGGCCCCTGCCGTCTACGGCGAGGCGGCCGGTACCGTCTGTAGCGCCGGTCAGCACCCTCCAGCGCCCGCGGTGTGCCCCCCGGACAGGCACCGGCCAGGCCGGCGCCGCCACCCCTTCGCGGCTCCCCTTACGTCGCGTGATTAACAATTCTGATAGCTTAATAAGAGCGGCCGGGGCGCACGATCTCATTTGCGGGGGCTCCATAGCGCGCGCGGCCGCCTGATGACCTAATTGGGCGCTCTCGCGGCGTAATTGGCGCGCCAAACGGGGCGCCGACAGCGGCCATTACATCCAGACACTGTATAATTTCGCCGCTGTATCATGCCCGCGACAAATTGAGAAAAACGCGGCTCCGATGCCGGCTGGGCATAAGCCCCGGTCTGGGTCGGCGGCGCCAGGGCCGGCCCGGACAGCCACCCCAGCCAACTAGCCCTGATGCTGCTGCCGGACAGCAGTCCCGGTCTGGGCGGGACCGGACAGCCACTCCAGCCAACTAGTCCTGATGCTGCTGACGGACAGCAGCCCCGATCTGGGCGGGACCGGACAGCCGCTCCAGACAACTAGCCCTGATGCTGTTGCCGGACAGCAGCCCCGGTCTGGGCGGGACCGGACAGCCGTTCCAGCTAATTAGCCCTGACGCTGCAGCTGGACAGCAGCCCCGGTCTGGGCGGGACCGGACAGCCGCTCCAGCTAATTAGCCCTGATGCTGCTGCCGGACAGCAGCCCGGGTCTGGGCGGGACCGGACAGCCACCCCACCCAACTAGCCCTGATGCTGCTGCCGGACAGCAGCCCCGGCCTGGGCCGGCGGCGCCAGGGCCAGCCTGGACAGCCGTTCCAGCCAGCTAGCCCTGATGCCGCCGCTGGCGCGCATTTGCCTTAATGTGGGGGGTGAGGACACACCTCAGCCATTGTCAAAAGAACTGCAGGCCGAGCAGCTGCGTCACTGAATGCGTACGAGTCATGCGTGGACATCCGATCCTGCAGACCAGTCCATTCGTCCACTACGGCGAAGCTGAAGAACGCTCTTCCTACCGCAAAGCCCAGTATGGATGCTGGATACGTTCTCTCTATACTTATTTGATATAAATGTAGCCTTGTCTTCCCAAGGCTGTTCATTACAAGTTCTCTACCTGGATAGTAATGTGGCAATGAGACGGAAACGGCAGCAGATAGCGCATCAGAAATGAGGACCATTAACATGCCTTTTCACTGTAAAAACACATGTCAAACATTACCGTACCGTACTGTACCGTGGACACCTTTCACAAATTCGAATCTAGTCATTCAGGCGCGGCAGTAGATTTTCATTAATTATTCGTTGTGCGTCTATGACCGCTGGTTGGCAGCTATCGCACATTCACTTCGTCATTTCGCACATGCCTGCAAACATTTGTTCCGAAGGTCATGCGCACCTGACCAGAAAATGATCCGACATGACTGTAAAGTTTGCTGGATCGTGAACGTTCACTATTGAAATCTTTAGTTTCTAGCGTTCTTAATCCTTCTTTTTCACTTCCTGTTTTTCAGACATACGCCGAGAGCGAGACCCGGACGCATCGCCGGCAAGCGGCGGCGCTGCCCTGAGCCGTGCGTCTCTGGGGACCTTGTCAACGGCACGGGGCGCACGGCTCAGGCACAGCACGCACGCACGCACGCACGCACGCACTCACGCACGCACGCACGCACGCACATACACACACGCACACACCCACCCACACACCCACACCCACACACCCACACCAACACACACACACCAACACACACCACCACACACACACACACACACACACACACACACACACACACCACCACACACACACACACACACACACACACCACCCAACGCGCGCGCGCGCGCATGCACACGTACGCACGCACGCACGCACGCACGCACGCACGCACGCGCGCACACCCACACCCACACCCACCCACACCCACACCCACACCACACCCCCACCCACACCCACACCCACACCCACACCACACCCACACCCACACCCACACCCACACCCACACCCACACCCACACCCACCACACACCCACACCCACACCCACACCCACACCACACCCACACCACACCCACACCCACACCCACACCCCACACCCACACCCACACCCACCCCACACCACACCACACCCCACACACACCCACACCCACACCCACCACCCACACCCACACCCACCACCCACACCCACACCCACACCACACCCACACCCACACCCACACCCACACCCACACCCACACCCACACCCCACACCCACACCCACACCCACACCCACACCCACACCCACACCCACACCCACACCCCCACACCCACACCCACACCCACACCCACACCCACACCCACACCCACACCCACACCCACACCCACACCCACACCCACACCCACACCCCACACCCCACACCCACACCCACACCCACACCCACACCCACACCCACACCCACACCCACACCCACACCCACACCCACACCCACACCCACACCCACACCCACACCCACACCCACACCCACACCCACACCCACACCCCACACCCACACCCACACCCACACCCACACCCACACCCACACCCACACCCCCACCCACACCCACACCCACACCCACACCCACACCCACACCCACACCCACACCCACACCCACACCCACACCCACACCCACACCCACACCCCACACCCACACCCACACCCACACCCACACCCACACCCACACCCACACGCCACGCCCACGCCCACGCCACGCCCACGCCCACGCCCACGCCCACGCCCACGCCCACGCCCACGCCCACGCCCACGCCCACGCCCACGCCACGCCACACCCACACACACACACACACACACACACACACACACACACACCGATTGCCGCGCTGTTCATTACCTAATCAGCAGGCACGCCCAGAATGCGGCCGTGACGTGGGCGTGACGTCACGGCCCCGTCGCGAGACGGCGCCGACCGATCGGCGGGTAAACAGCGGATTACACCGCGCACTTACCGCTTTTGTCCTTGTCGGCCAGGTAGGCGTCCATGGCGTCAAAGAACCTGCCGGATGGCGGACGTCGGTTATCGTCGGGCTCGGCGGCCGCCGCTGACGTCCGTGAGCCCGGGGAACGCCCCGCGAGAAGGCCGGGCGCGCCGTCCGGCACCCGGACCTGGACCCGCTCACGCCGTACCAGCGTCAGCACATGAGCCGGGAACACGCCCGATCTGGGAGTAAATCCTTTTTAAGCGTCGCCGTTGGGTATTTTTAAACGTCTGCTAAAAGTGGACGGGCCGTGCATCGTGCATCGTGCATCATCCACGGCGCTGCCATTAAGCCTGGCGACCTTTTCCGGTCACGGTGACCACTCTGACCCATCCACATGTAAGAGCAGTCCTCGTCGCACTGCCCAGCCCCCGTGTCGGAACGGTGCACATCTGTCCAGCCCCCGTGTCTGAAAGGAAAGTCCTCCACCGAGCACCAGCGCCAGAAAGTCCGTACTCCAAGTGTCAGAGAGCCGGCCCGTTATTCAGCACTCGTGTCGGCAAGGTGGCCCCTTGTTTAGCCTGTGTCGCAACGGCTGCTTGCTTCAACGACAGGAAGGGACGTATCGGCTAAACAAAAGCAAATGCCTTTCACGTCAACGCACGTATGGCTACCCAGGTCATCAGAAGTGTTTACTATTCGCCCGAAGGCATACCTCGAAAAACAGCTGCGGGCTGAGAGCGGACAAGTCACAGTATTAGCATGAGCCACCAGGGATCTACGAGCATATCAAACATAGCTTTAAAGAAGACAAAACCGAGGACCTTCACATCGCGTGAAGACAAAAGTAAAACAACCCAGTTTTAAGTTTTAACAGGCATTTCCACGTCGTATTACCAATACAAACAGCAATGCATTTGCCGCTATTCGATAGCAAAATTCCAGGATTGCGAGCTGGATGCTGCTTTGCTCCATTGTCACAGGATAAGCACGCACCTAGATGATGAATCGTTTTCAAGAACAAAACCAATGGTAACTTATTCCAAACGTCATGCTAGATCACTGTACATATGCACACGATTATGATGAATGGGGTTATTGCTACTGGTTCTAGCATGGTGGCTGGGATGAATGCCATCTCCAGCATCACCTTCTTCAAGATTTTCACTGTTAATTTCCCTACGGCATGTGGGCGATAGGTTTCGCAATGACGCCTGAGCTTATTGCCTCATAACAAAACCCGGCTTTACCGCTCAGCGACCGAAGGCGTGCGTCATAGTTTCCAACAGAGGGGCTGGTGTGACGTCACACGCCACCAGAGCCACAGCCGGGGCGCTACGGAATCCCCGCTCACTTCAACAACAGATCACCGTGAGATGTCAACAGAGGGGCTGGTGTGACGTCACAAGCCACCAGAGCCACAGCCGGGCCGCTACGGAATCCCCGCTCACTTCAACAACAGATCACCGTGAGATGTCAACAGAGGGGCTGGTGTGACGTCACAAGCCACCAGAGCCACAGCCGGGCCGCTACGGAATCCCCGCTCACTTCAACAACAGATCACCGTGAGATGTCAACAGAGGGGCTGGTGTGACGTCACAAGCCACCAGAGCCACAGCCGGGGCGCTGCGGAATCCCCGCTCACTTCAACAACAGATCACCGTGAGATGTCAACAGAGGGGCCGGTGTGACGTCACAAGCCACCAGAGCCACAGCCAGGGCGCTACGGAATCCCCGCTCACTTCGACAACAGATCACCGTGAGATGTCAACAGGGGGGCTGGTGTGACGTCACAAGCCCCCAGAGCGACAGCCGGGGCGCTGCGGAATCCCCGCTCACTTCAACAACAGATCACCGTGAGATGTCGACGCTATTTGAGCGCAGCCTCAGCCCTTCCGCGAGATTTTGCAATACACTGCACGGCCGTTTACCGGTTCAAACACTACACAATGCAGAGAGCTGTTGGCAAGCCATAACAATCAGCGGCACACCATGCAAATCATTTTGTTACAGGCGTTACGAATGTTCCGCACGTCCTCCATCCGCCTCGGTCTATACCTGAGGACGGCAGCCTCGCTCCCGCCGTCAGCAGGAAGGACCGACAGTGAAGCGGCAGGTCACGCACACCGCACCGGTGGTAATCCTCGTGCATGGAATTTCCGCCACTTTGTGCAAGTCACCGGCACGAGCACATGAATGGGCTGGGCCACGGACTCTGCACTCGCCGGACGGGGCAGCCTCCAGGGCCCCGCCGAATCTGTCAGCAACGACTTCTCGCGGACTCAAGGCATGATCTTGAACTGTACAATGGCTAACTTCAACATCCTTTCAGCATCAGTGAAAAGCTGTAGTGCCTATGATGGCGACCGGGAGTACCCCGGTATCCGGCCTTTCCGGTCTGCCTCTGCCTCTGCCTCTGCCTCTGCCTCTGCCTCTGCCTCTGTCCCTGCCTGTGCCTCTGGACTCCGTCGTGCTTACTTTTCAAAGCAGCAAAAGCTCCTTCTCCCAACAAGGTGAGAGCAACACCCGTCCGCCGGGGCTTTACCAGCACTATCTTAGATGAACAACACCCCAAAGTTGAACACAAGGCAAATGGAGGCTGTCACCACATCAGCAGATCCTCCGCGAAGTTGAATACCAGGACAACTATCAGTCCTATCCTGTCCGCACAGCTTTATTGTTCACTGCACCTCGAAATAAACATTAAAAAAAACAGCTTATCAAGCCGGGTATCCAGCTTTCGGACCTGCCCGCTATCTCCGACCTAATTTACCTCTCTGTATGTCAGGGTCACGTCAAATGGGCGCCCCTGTGATCTATTCACGCCTCATTCCGGAGCGCGTGCCACGCAGGCGCCTCGGGCGTCGGTCGCCCCGCCCTGGGCCGGCAGGGCGTCTACGCACGTGGCGGCCGGGAGCACAATACTCACCGGCCGCATTCCGGCGCGCGACACCAGGGCATTTTCCGCCGACGGCGCGCCGCGCCGACTGAAGTCGTCCGGCGCGGCGCGTCAGCCGCCACAGAACGCAGCATGAGCGATGAGGCTCTCACGCAAGACGGACGACGCTCTTACGGCCGGCAGGGCGGCTTGCACAAGCGGCGCGGGCGGGTAGCGACACGGAGCCGGCAGCGGGCGGGCGGGCGAGCGGGGCGATCGGCGGCTGTTCGGGTTAGGCCATCGGGTTCGCGGCGGCGCGGCGGCGCGGCGGCGCGGCGGCGCGCCGGGCGGCGGCCAGGCGGTGGCCGGGCGGTGGCCGACCGATCGCCGCACGTCCCGCCGCTAAATGGATGGGGATTAGAGGCGGCGCCGACGGTCGGCTGCGCTGCCGGGCCGACCGATCGGGGCGGCGGAGCGGCCACGGTTCTGCACCGCGCGGGGGCGTGCACACGCCGCCGCCGCCGCCTCCCTGGCCGGCGGCCTGCCTGACCGCAGCGCGCTGGTCGGGCCGACGGTCGGCACGTGATGCTACAAAGCGGCCGGTGACCACCGTGTGGTCAGCATACACACCGCCCGTCGTCGTCGTTACACCGCAGCCGGTGGTCGGCACGCGTCATCATTACGCCGCAGCTGGTGGTCAACGAGTGTCCGGACGGGCACGCGCGACCGCCAAACGCTTACGATGACCGCCGACCGCTGAAGGCGACCGAGACCGCTGAAGGCGACCGAAGACCGCTGACGGCGACCGAGGCCGCTGAAGGCACGTGCCGATGTCGCACCGCGGTCCGTGTTGTTACGACGCGGCTCGTGTTCGACGCGTGTCGTTACACGGCGCTCCGCGGTCGGCACGTGTCCCCGTCACAGCGCAAACCGTGGTAGATACGCGGAATCGCCACAGGCCGTGGCCAGCACGAGGTCTCGTGACGCTGCGGCGGGCGAGCGGCCGCCCCGCCCGTGCAGCGGCGCGGGGCGGCGGCGGCGGTGGCGGCCGGCCTGGCGCCGCGTTCGACACCGAGCGACGCGCCCAGAAGCCCGGCCGTGCACCGGCACTGGGGGGATGCAGGGTTCAGCGCACCCGTCGACGGGCCGCGCGGCTAATCAGAACACCGGACACCGGTCCCGTCTGGATTGCACCGAGCCAACCACCTGGAAAGTGTCGACTTGCAGCGGTCTTAAACAGCCTGCAGCCCATGCACGCCGATGTGCTTAGATAGCGGCCGAGTGATTAATCACCGCGCCGGCGAAATGTGCCAGAACGGCGAAAGAAATGCCAAAAATGCACAGCTATTGGCACCTTCAGCTCCCGTAGCCGTCTCGGGCCTATCTGACCGGACACATTCCTGAGGTTGACTAAGCACCTTACTGGCTGGCCAAGGCTCCCAGTCGAGTAAAAAGGCACTCGGCGCCTTATCGGGTGTATTTGTCAGGCATTCTTCGCCCGAACTATCCAGACACTACGAAAGGCGACCGATGATGCCGTTCAGTCCGGGAAGAACGTGTCGGCTTTCCCTGCACGGTCGTTTGCTCCGGATCCTCGGGCCAGGTTCTGCGAACCTCCCGGACCAGACGTGCCACCGGTGTGGCGGGCACGCGTGGGTGCCGTTAGCCCGTCCGGCTAGGAGTGCACCGCGCCGCAGCTCATCGGTTGAGCGCGACACGCCGACGTCGCGTGCCGGACATTAGTGAGTGATGAGGAGATCAGCAGACACGGCGAACACGCCATGGCGCCAGGCTGGTGCGGACTCCGGCGCGAGCAACGGCGTCGCGCGCGCGGCGGCAGGACAGCCGAGAGCAGTGCCGGCAGGGCGGCACGAGACGACTGGCGGCGTGGCAAGCGACGACATGACGCTGGACAGGATGGGGATGGTCACATGACATTGCGGGTGACGTCACCGCACAGACCCAGACCGTGGCCCTTCCGCTCCCAGACGCTGCGTACAGCTACAAGCAGCCTCGCGCCAGTGGCTACGACGCCGCCGTAACACCGTAAACGCCTCCCCATCACCCCTACCCCGCCGGGGACCTGGTTACCACGACGGACAGGGAGAAGACCAAGCGGCGGGCACAGCGGCGCCGCGGCGGTGCAGCGGTCGGCGCCACGCGGCCCGACCGCGGCAGGTCGACAACACCGTGCATCGAGCCACGGCGACCGCCGGACCTGACCTGACCTGACCTGGGAGGGTGTCTACCAGCCGGGCCGGACCTGACACAGCCTGACCTGACCTGGGAGGGTGCCCACCAGCCGGGCCGGACCTGACGCAGCCTGACCTGACTTGGGAGGGTGCCCACCAGCGTGCCTGACTGGGTACGGTGACCCGATCCGGATCTGAGCTGCAGTAGATGGACCGCCGGCCGGGGATGGACGCCGCATGGTGGCCAGATCCGACCAGAGTGGTTAAGAGGGCTTTATCGTCGCCACGGTTAGGATTACCCCGTTTTCGTCGTGGTTAGAGTACCTTTGCATGGTGATGGGTTTACGCCGCCACTACCCAAAAACGTCATCGTTGAAATCTTCTTCTGTTTCGGACTTTCCGCGTTATACTTTAACTAGCTCCTAGCAGAGCAAACCACCAACATGGAATAATGAAACACAAAACACGTCCGTACGCTGCTGCATTACTACTTAACATTTACAACGAACCAGATTACAAATACAGCAAGCGGTGCCAACGTGATGCCGGCCTCCGACCTGACCAAAATCTGATGCGCTACGGCCTGACTGAGGTGTAATGAACTGGAGCCAGAAATATAAAATGGACCGTCCTCACTCACACGCGCTTTACCGCACATATTAAATACTCACTGTCATAACAACTCACAAAACAAACATACTACGCGAAAAGTACAATATGTTATATGAAACGTAACACACATATACATATTCACACACATTTATATCAATAAAATATATAAAGAAGGACGGAAAATTACGTGAAAACAATAGTTAACAGCCGGTGCTTGACATCAGAGTGGCACCTGTGCCTGTCTGGGCAGAGCCCGGCGCCGTCCGCCTGCCAACCGGGAGCTGACGGGCCGCGCAGAACTCAGCGCTAAGACGACCCTAATTAAAGAGGAACCCGAGTCGCGCCCGCCAGCCGGCCCCCGTGAAAATACGCGTAAAATACCGTGTAAGAATGCAGTCGCGCCGAGGCTAAGCTATTCATACTGTGCGAGGCGCTATTAATTGGTCGTTTGGCGCGATGCGGCCGGACGTGCCGGCTGCCGGCGGCCGGCGGCCGGCGGGCGGCGGGCGGCGGGCGCGTGCGTGCGCCCGGCGCTGGCGGGCGCGCGTGCATGCCTCCGTCGGCCCACTCACCGTCGCATCACCGGGCCTCTGGGGATCACGTGACCTTCTGTGGCGATCTTGCCGTGACGTACGCCGCGGCTCTCGAACTCCTGGCGGTGGCGCAGAGACAGGCGTTAGAGCGCGGCGTCTCATCAGAGGTAGCCTGAGTTCACCGCTGGCGAAGTCTCCGGCGTGGACAGGGCACGCCTTGTCGTCTCGCGCGGCGACGGGCCCGCCGGCCACGCGCCGTCTCTTATGCTGGACACGGGAGCTGGCAGCGGGTGCGGGGTGGGAGCGAGCGCGAGAGCGGCCGACGGTGGGGTGCCGCCGTGGTCGGGGGGCATGACCAGCTCCTCGAGACGGAGGCCTGAAGCGGTCGGGCGTCGGCTGGCTCGGTTAGCACGACTCACCTGAGCATAGCGACCAAGGAGCGGTAGCTCGAGTGGACAACTGAGGATAGCGACCAAGGAGCGGTAGCTCGAGCGGACATTTGGTAGAAGGACGTGTAAACATACAAAAGCGTATGTTTGCACGCTGGTTTTGTTCGGAAGCCACCGGTAGCCTGGATCCCGAGCATGTCCAGCACACGGCCGCCAGAGATGGTTCCTGAGCCCTGAGCTCGGTCATACGGTATCGGTTTAAAGCTATTGAGAGGCATACATTGCCTCAACCGCACATGACATGCCTGTCACATGACTCACACTACGCGGCATACTTTGACGACAGTGTAATGCTCGTGACGGCTCCCCGCCAATATATGACGTCATTCGTGAAACCGTGCAAGACTGGTCACGTGGTTCGAGTTCGAACTTCCCGCAAGATGTCTGTCCTTGTACTGGGTATAAGCAAGGAACACCACACAGCTGACATGACCAACCAGTTGCAATATCAGTGGCACATCAAGCCATATGAAAGGGTCTCATCGAGTGACATCATCCGTACTGATCTTACAGCTATTCGCATATGGTTATTGACGCGCTCCAGCAGGCTGTAAGAACGTCTTACTACATTCGTCAATTAGCACGAAGCACATTTGTTGGTGCAATATAGTGATTAGACCATACTAATTGGTCCGATAGGATCTATCCCCGCATCATATTTAGCAAAAGCTTACCGAACGTGACACGATACGATCAGTATGACATCAAGCTAACAGCTTATCACACCTTTCTGATGCACCAAATAAGAGATTTCTTGCGAAGTCCGCTGCAAGGCTCCCTGAACAGAGCCAATCTCGCCAGAGGGCACGCTGACATGTTCTGATTGTGACCGCTTGTATGCCTGTTTCTTTAACTGTGACGTCAAAACTTACGCGGCTATTAGACGAATGTTAGACGGAGAGTGGCTACGTGAAGACAAGCTAGACCAGGCCTATCGATTGGTATTCGAAATTCTCACATTTGGCGATTAGCTCCAGTGAAAAGGTGAGACAGGTGACGCCGAAGAAGGCCCCACGCGGGCGGCCACACGCACAGAGAGACCGCGTTAAAAGCTGGACCGACGGACGGAACGCAGTCAGTCAGTGACGGGAGCAGCGGTGCACGCTCGCACATCACATCGGACGCGCGGCAGTCCGGACATGCCGATGTGCGCTATCACATCGGGCGGCAAGGGCAAGTGGCTGAAGTCGATAAGACCGAAGGGCGTGTGACAAGTGGTCCAAAGACCTGATGCGACCGGCAGCGACGGCGGCAAAAGCCGGCTCGGCGGCCTCGTGCCCAGGCTCGCTGGACACGCGTCACCGGCAGGGACCGGCCGATCCCCGCGGTGGACCGTGCGCAACCTCCTGCCCGTTGCGCAGAGAACGACTCCCTGTAAAAAAATACACGCACTCGACCCAGTGCGACACCGTGTCAGCCATCCCTCACCGCAGCCCCCGAAAAAATCGGCCGTCACTTCACCTGTCAATGCACTTTCGCCGCCCGGCCGTCGGCGGCCGGTGCAACGGCGCGCGGCGGCTAACGAGCCGAGGCGCGCTCACACCTCGCGGCGCAGCCGATCCTATCGGCCGATGACACTCGATGGCTGGCTAAGCTGGCCGTAATGGAGGCGCGGCCGCCGTGCCGCCCGGCGCTGATTGATGGCTCGGTGCGGCCCTAGCGAGCCCGACCGGTCAGCGCCAGCCGCCCGCTATCCGGCCATCGGCGCATTTGTCATCTGTCCAATATGTCGGCCCACGCCAGCGTGATGGCCCAATTAGGGCCGGCGGCGCTGACGGCGGCCCCAGGTCGTGATGGCCCAATTAGGGCCGGCGGCGCTGACGGCGGCCCCAGGTCGACGGCGGACCCGCCCAGTTGGGCGGTAGATTTGCTCCAGGTCCCGGCCAGCTGGGCGGCAGGTTCGCTCGAGGACTCGCCCAGCTGGTTGGCAGGTCCGCTCGAGGTCCCGGCCAGGTGGAAGGGCGGCTCTGGGACACCGTCGGCTCTGGGGTCCGGCCGTCTGAGCGCCAGGTCCACTCTGAGGCTTACAGGTGGGGGGGGGGGGGGCTCTGGGCCGGTCAGCTGAGCTAGAGGTCAGCTCTCGCTCCGGCTGTCTCTCGGCATCTCTCTCAGTGCGGGTCATCGTCGTCAGTGCGGGTCATCCCAGCCCCAGTCATTTCTCTCATCCCCGGCCGTGCCTCTCGGTCCCGGCCACCTCTCCCTCGCCGGGTCACCTCTCAGGGACCCTGCCCCGCCCCGGTCACCTCTCGGCCGCCCGGCCGGCTCCAGGTCGAGTCAACAGAGGGCGGGCCGAGTGTGGGACTCCCCCGGCGCGACCGCCATCGATCACGAGTGCAGGCCGACCGCCGCCGCTCTCTCAGTTGACTCGGGCGGCAGTGGCGCCGCCGAGGCGGGCCGCGCCCGGCCGCGGAGCCGCGTCGGCCGTGCGCCGTCATTGGACTGGGGCCGCGCCGGCCGTGCGCCGTCATCGGACCGGCGCCGCGGCCGCCGCTCGACAAACTCGGTCCGGGCTCGCCGTGCAGTCGGAGGCCCGCTGCCCGCCAGAGCACACAACTGGCGGCAGACGGTCGTACCGGCCGACCATACGACAGAGCACACAACTGGCGGGCGGACGGTCGCACCGGCCGACCATACGACACCGTGGCGGCGCCCACGGTGGGCTGGCGTTGCATTGGCGTGAGCCTCCGTGAGTCGCCTTGATTAGGAAATCTAGACAGTGGCCATTAAATCCGCGAGGCATGAGATGATAATAATAACACTATCACTAAACCACAATATGGATCATGTATATAAAGACGAGGTATATAAAAACTTACATCGAAACCGCTAGCTCCGATAAGAAGAGTAATTAACCGCATCTCTTGAACGAGAAGTAGTAGTGGCAAGGAAATAGAACGGTGAAATTGTCGTAATATTTTAGACTGATAAGTTTTTCCTTCATGCTCTGAAGTAATCATGAATGTGAGCCTGCTGTCTTTATGTTGGAAACAAATCGAAATCTAAAACAGTCCACAAAATTACGTGACATTCTACGTAGTGAAACATGCAATAAGTCATGATGGAAATTTTTTGGCGCGTACCCAGCGCGGCCCAAAGGACAAATATGTCCAAAACACTTAGCGCAGTCAGAGCCGAACACCCCGAGCCTCAACCTTGCACTATCGTAAAAAATCGAACAGCATTTCAAGCCCGGTTCCACAGACTTGCTCCATGTAACTGAAGCGCCACATCGCCATACGAGCCGGCAGCGCCACACCTGCAGGGCGCAGTCGCGGCTGCAGGCACACCTGCGCGCGCGAGCCCACAGCTCGTGCGCGCGCTGGAACATGGGACATGGCTGCGCATGGCACAGCTGACGGCGACGCCGGTGAGCCAACCAGCACCGCCTCGGCGGCTGATTACACTAATTTCTCGATACAGCTGAGGACAAAGAGAAGCTTAAAGGTAAGCTGAAGCATAGCTTGGAGAGCTCGCAATGCAGCTACGCATTTATCATCAAAATATCACTTCTAGACCGCAATAAATATGAAACGGTTCATTACTAAGAATACATCCTCTTCAAATGGTTGCATTCTTAGTGGCTTAGTGGTAATAAAGCAGGAAGGCAGATGCAGCTAACGGTACATATAGTGAAAAGCTCATTTTTGATACCGTGTTTATATTGCATGTGTGGGTTAACTGCTGCATGCAATCGGAGGGTCACGCACGCTCCAGGAATGGGAGTCCTCACACAACGGTGTGTTCGGGCGCTTTCAGTTGTGATCTGCAGCCCCATCGGGTGCGCGTGTTGCAGTCATTGGCAATTTGTCTCGGTTTGGCGAGGCTCAAACCTTTTGCAATGATATTAGCTTTTCATGTTCAACTATGGATGATACCTCTCAAGTGGAAAACATCCTCCACGTTTGCATAACGCCTATCCTGAAAAGGTTGTCGCCAGGCGTAACGAGACAGTATGCCCATAACAATACACGCAGTGAGTCAATCCTGTGACAAGCAGCCGTCGCCTCACAGCCAGCTCCTCTGACCTGACATTACTGACAGGGGCAGATGGTGCGTATCACCGGCTCCGTGGTGCCTCCCGCGTGCAGGCTCGCGCCCGCTCAAGCCATGGCCCACGGCACCGCTTGAACCACGTCACGGGCTAACATGCGGCGCTACGTATGTGTGGCGGCCGAAACTGGACCGGAATGTGCATTATCGACATTATGTTCATAATGATTAGCGTGGCGACTTAACTGACATGGTACGTCACGCAAGGTCGGAAAACTGCAACGTTAGACGTCAAAAAAGTAAAATGGCGCAAAGGACCTTGAGGATGCAAGCATAACCTTCAAACAACGAGAAACGCTAAGTCACTCGTAAACTGGCGGCTCATCTGTTTTTAAGAGACGGGGAGGACCATAGGTAGCGTACAATATGACAAACTCATTGCAGCGTAAAGCAAAGTGCACACCATAACACAGAGATGATGAGGATCGCCCAACACACCGAGCCAGCCGGCGGAGCGTTCCCAGTCCGCCACGGTTGATCGGCATGTCTTCATATCGCGTGACAAGTCGGAAATGGCAGGCTTTTCCATTGAACCTCGATCCCTACACATGCAAACAGCAAAGAATATCGCTGATCTCCGATGAGTTAGGATGAAGTCAGGGTGACCTTAGCAATGTGTTTGAGTCCATGGACACTGGAGGATTAATGAGTACCAAGCAAACTAAAAACTACGAACAAGGCTATGAGTTCAGTGCCTATGACGTCGCTTGCCAATGACCTTGTGTCAATATGACCTAGCACGACCTGGGAAACCCATCTGATACGACATGGTCTTGACGTTCCGTTGAGGACACTACATGTCTCAAGCTGCTGATGCAATTTGCCTCGAATTTCTGTCAGAAAACCTACGACGGAAGGGAAAACTCCCAGATTAAGTCCGGGCTAATCGGCCGTAGCTTACCGAGGGATCGTAGTACCTCGTGGTAAACGTCAGATCTATGATGAAATCCAGGTTCGGAATGTCAGCTACTGCATCTTCGGGGGAAAACCTGCGTCAAAAGGGCCGAACGACATCAGTGAAATGCACAGCTTTGGCGAAATTGCTGCTGTTTCGGCAGACGTCTACAGCGCTCATCGGCTCTAGTTAGAAGCGTATAAGACGACGGCCCGCCCGCAGCCGGTGAGGTGCGGATCAGATGGGAAATTCCCGTTTGAAATGCATTGTGCAGGACAGAGGAAGCCAAACATAGCGTAATCATGCCAGACTAATTCAACTCCACGATATGCACGTCGGGGCGTTTAACCGGGATAATAGAGGCAATGTGTAGGCCTAATTTGACACGCGAGAACTTATGGGACCACACAGACAAATAAATAGTACAAAGCACGAGACGTGTCGACCATAACTCACCAGTCCTTCTTCATGACCTTGCTTAGGAGAACCTGCAACCCAAAAACGGCACTGTTAGCATTCGTACGTGGGCAAGGCATCCATCTAATGCATTTTCCGTATACTTCTCACGGCACCGGCTCATCCGGCTTGGACGCCCACCCAGCCCATAAATAGTGGGAAACGTGATATTTGCTGAACCCCCCAGATCGTGGCGGCCGCTGCAGCCGCGGCGGCGGCCCAGGGGCGGCACCCTCCAATCCGATAAAATATCGCGCAGATACGGCCGGCCTTTAAATGGGGCTCCTGCTCCCAGCTCCCTCCGGCTGACCTCGGGCCACTAACGGTGCCCGCGTACGCCAAATACGGGGAGGCGAGGCAGGTCACGCCGGCGACGAGTGTGCGCCATCCGGCGTTCCCGCGTCCGGGGCTGCTGGCGGCGGCGCTCGGCTCCCACCGGCCGGTGGTCGCCCCCGAGCGGACACCATCCGGCCTGGGCACCACCGCTGGCGGGGCGGCGGCGGCGCCGGGAGGCAGCCAGGGGCCGCCCGCTCCCCGCCGGGCCGGCCAAGCGCACCGCTGTTTGTGTGCGCTGCGCCATCCCGAGGCCCGGAGGACCTCGGCGCCGGTCGAGGGCATAGGAAACCCATGGCGAGCGCGGTGTCGCATGTCACTGAGATGGAGTGCGCAGCCCACGCGGACAGCGTGCCGCCATGTCCTGAGCTGGCTGGCACGTGCGTCGCACAGCTGACACAAGCTGGGACGGCGCCCAGCCAGAGCCGTGCGCAAAACGCGGCGTCTCCGCGCGCCGCCGCCGGACAGCCCGCGGCTCGGTGCAGGGCAAAGGCGGAGGTCGCATTAGCCGCACGTGCTGACTCGGCCCGGCCACTCCCCGGGTCATGGGCGTACAATGCCGTGCTGTGTCACACCGGTCGCGGCGGGGACGGCCGCTCAACGCGACGTGGGAGGGAATGGGCTGGGGAATACCCAGCGTGACGAGTGTTCGCGTGCTCCAGCGGCCGACACACAAGCCGAGTGCGCGGCTTCCTCCCACGGACCCGTCCGCAGGCAAACCGGGCTCGATTACACAGCTCGATGACGGAACGTCGGTCCGCCCTTGGCCGATACCCGGCCGACTCAAGGTCGTGGCTTCTCCAGCCCAGCGGGCCTATTCCAGAGGGCGGTTCGACGCCGGCCGCGGCGCGGCGGCCATCACTCGACGAGCCCGGACGGTGCCGACGGTCGCTGTGCAGCGCGCGGGGCGGCGCCGGTCGGCCCGTGCGCCGCCGGCGGCGCACAGTCGGAGCATGACTGGCGGCCGCCGCGAACAGCGCCGGTTGGCACACGCGCCGCAGACGAGACGACCCGCTCGACCGCGACGCTGCGACACGGGCGCGGACGGCGCCGCTGGCAGCGGCACGCGACGCGTCGCCGCGGCGGCGGCGACCGCCCGGACCGGGCGTCTCATCTTCATATTAACGAGCCGGGCGGCGCTGCCGCTGCCATCTGGAGGCGCCGAGGGCGGGCGGGCGGCGCTGCAGCGCGGGCGGGTCCGGCGCCGGCCAGCGCGGCGACGCCCCGGCCGACGGCCACCCGCCGTCGCCGCCGCCGCGCGGGTCTGACCCACATCCGCGACGCGGCGGCACGGCGGTGGGCGACGTCGTGCGTGCGTGCGAGCCGGCGCTGCGCTGCGCGCACGCACCGGCGCCGTCACCGACGGTCGGCGCTGTTTGCTCTGGCACCGGGCAGCCTTGGCGGCGCGGATGGTGCGCCAAACCAGCTGAATCACGGCCGAGCAAAATGCAAATATGAGAGAATCTGCTGGCGGCGCGGCGTGGCGCCGGCGGCCCGCCCACGCCGCGCTGTCGCCGCCGCCGCCCGACACGAGCGGCGGCGCCGGGCCCGGGCCGTGCCGGCGGGGCGACGGGCCCGGGCACGGGTCGAGCCAGGCCGCGGCCGTGCCGTGACTAAAGGCCATCCCGACGGCGGCGCGAGCCCGACACGAGCCGACCGCCGGCCAGGGCGCGGCGGCAGTGGCGGCGCGGCACGACAGCCGCCTGGGCGGTCCCGGCGCCGCCAGGCCTTGAGTGCCGCTCTTCAGCCCCCGCTCGCCCTCGTGTCCGCCCCACATCCTCTCGCGCGCGCGCTGGCTGGCTGCGAGGCGGCGTCTCGAGCCGAGCGAGCCGAGAAAAACGTCGTCGCGCCGCAGGCTGCTCGGGAGCGCGGATGGGCGCGTGGTACTCAGCCGCTGTCATCAGGGCGCCGTAGCTACCAGCCAGACACGACCAGGGGATGGACCGTGACCCACTGCGCAAGGGATGGCGACACGGCTCAGACCCAGCCCTCTGCCGACCAAGCGTCAGCTTCAGGCAATACCGCTGCCTTGCACATTGGGGTAGTGCCCTGCTAGCAGGCAGTGATGAACTCAGCCACCCAAACAGTTACGCATGTCTCCTCACCCTTTTCATTAAAATCAGTCACGGTGTTGCATAAGATTTCCTTGTCCGCGCTTTCCGAACGTTTTTAAACGCTGAGGGGTAAAATGGCACCTGAACAGCACAATTTACACATTTGTCCGCGGACAACGAACATACGCTATCGTCCCGCACGTCGCTAAAGCACGCGTCCATAAAAAGCAGCGCCGCCTTTTTGCAAAAGCCTACGGAGCACTTGCTATTCATGCAATCGGCGACGGTCATTTAATGGATGCATTCCGCTTGTCGCCGCCTCGGCTCGGCAAGACTGCAGCTGGCCCGGGGGGCTGAAACTGCTCGCACCTAATGGCATGCACACCGACGGTCTGGACATTCCAGGACCGCCTGTGCAGTCGACCGTCCCGCTCTTGTCGCCCGTTAATGGCCTCTGAGAGACGGACTGCACCCAGCGAGCCAGTGCCGGCGAGGCCCCCGGCCTTGCACAATCCGGGAAAGAATGCCGCTATGGCGGTGGCCCCTCAGTCGGCGCGACATCTCATTCCTCCCCCCGCTGCCAATAACGTCGGAGACCCAACACGCTTCCATTTGTCTCTGCCATCCGGGGCTGAGCCTCGGGCCGGAATGGAGGCGAGTAACACGGCTCGGCCCGGGTGGCTACACGGTCTCTCCCGGACGGAGGAGACGCCCGCGTCAAACCGCCGGCTGCGAGGAGCCGGCGACGGCACCGCGCGTGCGTGCGCGCTCACTCCCGGGCGCCTCCGATCCGGAGAACTGATAAAATCGGGGCAGGGGCCGTGTAAAAAATCTAAGTCAATTATTGCCCACTAAACGACGACTGGAATCGGATCAGAATGATAGACACGGGTTGTATTGTGTCCGGGTAATAGGCCGTAACGCGGACAGAGTGGATATATTGTGCGCCCTCAGCCGCCGCTGTAGGTACAGCTTCAGCCTGTCGAACCCGCAGGGCCCAAGCACACCGACCTCCAAACCAGAGCCGACGCGAGTCGCCTCGGCAGTCGTCCGTCACGAGCCGGCAGGCGCGACACGCCGCGTTTGTCCCTACACGGATCAGAAGGGCGTGAGGCGTCGGGCGACAACCCAGCTAATGCACCATACCGGACCCCGAGCGGCCGGCATTCTTGGCAAGGTCAGCCGGCCGGCCTCGGCGCAACAGGCGTCATGAGCCCGACCGGTGCCGGCACCGGTGCAGGGCGCAGGGTGGGAGGTGCAGTCGCAGCGTGGGCGGTGCCGCCGCCAGAAGCGGACGGTGTCGCGCCCGCCGCCGGCCGGCGACCGGGTCTCAGGCACGGGTCGGCCGCAGCCGCCGCCGCCGCCGCCGCCGCCGCCGCCGCCGCCGCCGCCGCCGCCGCCCGCCGCGCCGGCCGCGCGCCGTTTTTGCGCCGCCGCCGCGTGCCCATTAGCTATTCAGTTATTTGTTGTGGGCCGGCCGGTAAAGCGCGGACCAGGGGCGGCCGACATCTATCAGAGGCCGACACTATCGCCGCCTGGATCCGCCGGGCATGCATCAATACTGTCACAACAGTGCGACGCGTCGACGCGTTCGCGCTGCCGCCGCAAGGCCCAAGAGGGGGGCAGCCTGCCTCGCCCGGTCGCGCCCAGGAGCCGGCGCTGTGCTGGTGCGGTCTGGCACAGCGCTGTGCCCGACCAATCAAGGCCAGAAACAGCGCCAGGGCTCCGGTGCCGATTTCGTGTGGTGCGGCCGAGTTCTAGCGCTGACTCCATCCCGTCGTTAAAATGACGGATGTCATGCATACACAAGCTTTTCAGCAAGGTTCAACAGGCGTGCCGTTGTTTTAGACGTCGTGTTCCGGGCATTTCAATGAACTTCGGAAATTCCGCGTAAGTCGTCTTCCGTCTCCCAGTCGTTGGCCGTTGTCCTACAGTCATACGGAGACTCAGCATCCCATGGACCTTGCATCCAGGGTTATTTTTTGCCGAGAACCTCACAGGGTGATGAGAGATGAACAAAAAATCACTTGACTCAAATAGCTGGAGGGAATGGCGGCAAAACATGCGTTAGTAATCTGAAAAACCCCACATTTCTTTTTAAAACCGACGAGCGAGTTAAAAAGCCTTGCCTACATAGCCATCAAAGACCGATCAAAGTTTCGGTGATCAGCCCGCAGATGCCGATGAAATAAATAAAACTGTCAAGTATGCCATTTCGTCGGAGCGCTTCCCAGGCTACCCGATCAAGGCTCAGACCTTGGCGTGTTACCCCTTCGTGTCTCGTGAGAAGGATAATCCATACATTTGCAGTTGGAACTTTTGTCATTATAACTTCTTGTGCCGAAGACAGCCAACCTTTGATATACACGAAGGTGCTGCTTCAGTGGAGGTATCTCAAGCGATCGATGAGATATATTTTTAAAATGCTGGCACTTTCGACAGCGTTACAGTCTAGTGGTATCACCACTTGTATCACTCGTGACCATGAGCACTGCTTTGAAACGTCGAGCATCTGCATAACTAGTCCTCACAATTGCTGACATCTTTGGTTAACCAACATCTACCGGTATATTGAAGGCAGGTTATGAAACCAGCGTAAGAACTCCTAATGCCGAAAAACCAAGAGCTCAGGGTGGTCCCTGCTC